TGTAAATAACACAATTTTTTTGCTCAAAAACAGACTGAAAAATGTCTCATTTCTGCCTATTAAAAACCAGATTTACCCTTGGTTTGACCTGTTCCTTCTTGTTATTGATTGTTTTTGGTATATCATTTGCTACAAGAAGATATATAAATAACTTTTGAACTGCAGAGCTGGAAGGATCATTAAGTCCAGCTCCTCTCAATGAAACACATTGTGGAATTTAAGTCCCAACCTCTGGCTCCACAGCCAGAGACCATTCCTTTCTTCTGGGGCCACCCTGGGACTGTGTAGCTTGCCCAAGGGTACACAGGCTGTCTGTTCTTCCAGAAGACATGACAGGAAATTGAAATCCCAACATCTAGGCACCTCAGCTAGATACTTAACTCACAGAGCTATCCAGCCAGGTTTGCATTTATCCTTTACCTGTACAGTGGTGCCTCGCATAGCGATTGCATAGTATAACGATGAAATCACTTTGCGATGAAGATTTTGCGATCGCTTTTGCGATCACTTTCCGATGTTCCCTATGGGGGAATTTCGCTTTGCGGAAGCGATCATGGCAAAGCCATGCTTTTTAAACAGCTGATCGGCACCACAAGTAAGGCTTTTTAAACAGCTGATTGGCGCTGCACTACCCCCCCAGAGCTCCTGCACAAATAGGGGACAGCGGGAGGGGGGATTGGTGCCTTGGGAGGAGGAGGGAAGGAGGGCAGAAGGGCCTGGCCCCGATCCCCGCGTGTACCCCTGGGGTGCCGAGCCAGAGAGCAGTCGCAGTGGGAGGCACTGCAAAGGAGGAGGCGCCTGCCGGATACCGGGATCAGGGCGGCAACAGCTGGACAGGGGGGCGGCATGCCAGAGACCCCCTCCTTGCCCCGTCTGTGCCCCGCCAAGGAGACCGGGCGTCCGGGGTTGGCTGGCTGGCGGTCGGTGGTGCGCCCCTTCCTTCCCCAGGCGGCTGCTTGCCTCCGAGCCCACCGCTTGCCGCCCAAGGAGGCCAGGTGTCTCCCGGGTTGGCTGGCTGGCTGGCTGGCGAGCGGCAGGTGGGTGGTGTGCCCCTTCCCGCCCTGGGTGGCTGCCTCCCAGCCCTCGCTCGCCAGAGAAAGACCCTCCGGTTCACCCGTCTGCGCCCTGGGACAGCCCCACCAAGGAGGCCGGCCGTCGTCCGGGGCTGGCTGGCTGGCGGTGCTTTGCCATGATTGGTTCCCTGCTTGGGGAACCGATCATCACAAAGCCATGCTTTTTTAACAGCTGATCGGCGGTTTCAAAATGGCCACCTGCTGTTTTCTGGGACGGATTCCTCGCTGCATGGGCAGCGAAAATGGCCGCCCTATGGAGGATCTTCACTGAACGGTGAGTTTGAAGCCCATAGGAACACATTAAGCACATTTTAATGCGTTTCTATGGGCTTTTTTGTTCCGCATAGCGACGAATCCATATAGCGAAGATTTTTCCGGAATGGATTATCGTCACTGTGCAGGACAGCACTGTACCATTATCTAGCTGACATACACTCAGTTCTGCTTACTTTATTGAAAAGTGTCAGTCAGTGCCCCTCAGGAAATCAGAACAAATACAGTTGTTTAACAGTTCTACTTCCTACATATAAAATTAAAAAAACAGCAGAGGCTACAGGAAGGCATATTTGCTGTTCATCGTGGTCTTCATTTCTATTTGAATAAGGACTACAGATTCACACAAATTAGTAAAGATTCTCTGGATACTGCAGGGGTACCTTCATCCCTGTACTAATACCATGTTTCCCCAAAAATAAAACTGTGCCTTATATTAATTTTTCCTCCAAAAATGTAGTAGAGCTTATTTTCAGGGGATGTTTAATTTTTTTCCATGTACAACAATCTACATTTATTCAAATATAGTCATGTCATCTTCTGGTAGCTGCATAATGCTGCACAATGATCAAGGGCAAAGTTACACTTAACTGGGGCTTATTTTGGGGGTAGAGCTTATATTACGAGCATCCTGCAAAATCATACCAGGGCTTATTTTCAGATTAGGTCTTATTCCCATTGAAAATGAATAAAAATTTAAAAAATAAAATAAAGGCTCCATCAGCACATGGAGATACAAATAATGGACAAAATGACAAAAGTTCATTGGTAAGGTCACAAGCTATGACTTTGGTTTGGTTTTGCTGGAGAATCAGGATTTTATCTTTCTGCAGCCTGGATTCTTTCCAAATAAAAAAAGTGGGTGGAGCCAACCATTCTCTTTCAAGATTGGTATTTTCAATTTATATAAACTATTTTAAATCTTGGAACATCTAGGGTTGCTTATTTCTGAAAGGGGGTGTATTTTTCTTTTTAAAAAACATAACTTGAAACTCCTGTGCCCAAACTTTCCCAAATGTGACACAGAGCAAGAGTAGACTGTCTGCTACGTCCGTGCCAATGTTGGTGCTGATCCACAGTCCAATTTAAAAGTCATAATTTTGGGGAGGCTGCCCCCGATTTTTAGAATTACTTGTAGAATGTTGATTTGCATAGATAAACTATTGTGCAGCTATAATATCAGTCAGTGGGTTTTCAGTACAGCATGGGGCTAGTATGTCAATGTTTGAGCTTCACAGTGATATCCGGAAAGTGCACCTGTTGTGTAAACTGGTCCAGGCTGAATTGATGTTAGGATGAATGTTATTGAAGTTCCGGTGGGATTTCTTCTTTTCTCTGGATCCGGATAATAAAAATGTCATTGATGTACCTCAAACAAAGGACTTGTTTTGGAGTGCAACAGTTGAGAAAGCAATAATTCCAGGTCAGTCACGATTGTATTTGCATATTATGGTGCCATATGAGTACCCATGATATTCCATGGGTAGATGTTGTTGTCAAAGGTGAAACTGTCATATGTGAGCACTGTGTCACAGAGGGCAGTGACTAGGTAGCTGTGTCCCCATTTCAAATGTTAATCGTGATGGCCTAAACTGCATCTCTGGATTCCCAGTGTGGTATGGTAGATAAGAGTGACAGGCTAGGACTCTGGAGAACAGGGTTCAAATCCCCACTTGGCCATGGGAACTCCCTGGGAGTGTGGGACTGATAAATCAGTCCTTAAATATCTCACTTACCTCAAAAGCTCTATAAGTTGGTTCTGACTTGACAGCACAGGACAAACACAAAGTCCATATGTATGTGGGATGCTGGTATAGGGAGCTTCTGTATTCATTGTGGCTAAGCTATTATTGTCAGTGAAGTTGTGTCTAGACTGCAGTTTCATCGGAGAGTCTGTAGCGTCTCTTGCGCAGCTTAGGTGCATTAGCGACATGTGTTTTGAGAACGGAGTCCAAATATCCAGACACTCCAACAGTGATGGTGGGCCTACCAGGGTTGCTGGTCAGTGTCTTTTTAATAGCAGGCAAAAGGTTGCTGGTTGAGGTTCTTGAGGATTTGGTTATGTGTACAGTGGTGCCCCGCATAGCGAGGTTAATCCGTTCTGGATTAACCCTCGCTATGCGAAATCGTCGCTAAACGGGTAGGGGAAATGTATTGGAACGCATTAAACTTCGTTTAATGCGTTCCAATACCTTTGTTACTTACCCGTTCAGCGAGGATTCCAGGTGCCGGCAGCCATTTTCGCGCCTTCGCTAAGCGAGGGCAGGGCGCGAAAACGGCTGCTGGCAGCCATTTCCAGGCTTCCGGTGGCCATTGTTGTGGCTAAGTGAAGTTGTGTCTAGACTGCAGTTTCATCGGAGAGTCTGTAGTGTCTCTTACGCAGCTTAGGTGCATCAGCAACATGTGTTTTGAGAATGGAATCCAAATATCCAGGCACTCCAACAATGATGGTGGGCCTACCAGGGTTGCCGGTCAGTGTATTTTTAATAGCAGGCAAAAGATTGTTGGTTGAGGTTCTTGAGGATTTGGTTATGTGTATTTCCAGAATTATTTTCATAAGGTTTTGTTATTCCTTTTGGTATTTGGCAGCTGGGTCTGTGGTTAGGAGTTGCTAAAATTTAAGATCTGAACAATCATTTTGGGCTTTTATGTTTTGTTTTGTTTTGTTATCTGATATGCTTGCACGGACTAACATGCCTCCTTCTTCAAAAACTATAATTAAGTGGTTTACTTAAACAGATGTCAAGAAAAAGGCTTACAGTTTATAAGCTGCTCCACAGCGGTGACTTCCAACTACAGTTGCTAATGGAGATGCAGAAATATATCTTCATATCTCATTGTTTTTGGTGTATCAGCGTGCCATGGAAACCTGAGTCAAGGCCATCATCTGTTTTAACTGCATACCCTCTATTTATTTTCACATAGCCACAGAACACTATATTATAAGCAAAGCCTGTAAAATGATTTTAAACTTTTTGTGTTACACATTCATTTAGAATAATTGGATGAGTGCTATCATCAGTCTCTTTGAAAATTAATTTGTTACATTGCATATTATTAATGCAAATGTTGTGTACTTTCCAAAAAACTAAAAAACAAATAAACCTGGAAATGCTATCTGCTTCCCTCTAGTGGCAAATTCTGCTACTAAAACCTGAAAATATCATGTGCAATGCCACATGTAAAACTATCCTAACCCTTTGTTTTAAAGTGAAAATAAAAGTGGCCATTCACCTGGTAGAGTTGCAGGTTGTAGCTGTGTCAGTTGTGAGGGGCAAGAAAAGGACTGTCTCTAGAAATCTACCAAAATAATCCAGTGGGTCTAGGAGCTTATGTACACTACAGAGTTCTAGCAGTGTATATACCACTTTAATTGTCATGGCTTTATCCTACTTCATCCTGAGATTCATTGTATGGTGACATCCGTAAAATCCTCTGCTAGAGAGAGCAGTGATTCAGTCCCTTGACCCAAGGTAAAATTCTGATTATTTCAGCCACAACTATTGGAATTCATAGGATGGAGCTCTGGCATTTCAAGCTGTATCAGACTACAAGAACTCTGTAGTGTACATATTTTTTTAAAAAAGAATTACATGCCTAAACCTTTCATGTATGATGGCTTAATAGTATTCCTCTCTTTCTCTCTCTTTTAAGCATTCAAAAGAACTGGGAAGACCACAGACACAGACACCATTAAAAGAGACAAGTCTAGAGTCATGGACTCAGCCCCAGGTAAGCGAATACCTTTAAGATAAGTCTCTCTCTCTCTCTTGCTTCTATTCTCTTGAAAGATGGAATGTATTTTGGATGCTTTGGTTGAGACTAGAGATGGGCACAAATTAAAAAAAAAACAAATTGCCAAATTGGTTCAAAAATAGCTAATTTGTCAATTTGCATTGTCAGAGGTAACACAGCCTGATGAATAAGAATTGACAATTTTTAAAGCAATTTTTGATTTGCCAATTTTTAAATTTGTTTTTTTTCTCTCTGTTTCTGTGCTATTTCTCCCACCACCTCCCCTGGGCATCTGCAGCTGCTCCTGTCCATCAGGAGTCTCTAGGGAACCCTGAGAGGGATCTAGAGGCTCCTGGATTGGCAGGTCAAGCAGCCAAAGGCACTGCTCTAAGGGCTGTGAGGGTGTTACTTACTAACAGGCTTTATAAGCACTTTCCCTGCAACCCTTCCCCACTTCTGCTTGGAGTTCAGGCTCCAGTTGTTGTGCTCTTGCTGGGCAGGCAGCCGTTTTCCATTGTGGCAGCAAAACGTACACATTTCTTGTATTCCTTATTTGAAACAGTGGCTTTCTTTTAGGCACGTTCCTTTTACTTCTAGCTATTTTTTTTGGGCGGCACGCCACTCATCTCTCCAGCGGGATCTGTGTCTCCACAAGAGGCTGCGTTGTCAGCACACCACTTGGCGGCTGGGCAGGAGGTGCTCCACAGTTTATAGGGTGTGCTGTTCAGCTGTTCAGCAGTGCACCGATCCGCTGTTTAATGGGCTCACCTGCTCACTGTGCCAGCCAGAGCCAGCGCCTTGTTCCCTCCATGGCACATAGACCAGCTGTTCAGCAGGATGGGGTCTGTGTGCCTGCTTTCAACCAGCCGCACTGCCCCAATCAGCTGTTCAGCAAGCTTGCCATTGGCCTGCTGATCAGCGGCCTGGTGGGTTCAGTTGCCCACTCATATGTTCTACGTAGGGGCTGCGGCTGGAACCTGCTTCTCACCTGCTCATCCACTACTGCTCAATAGGAAAAGGCGAGGGGTCCAGCAAGGAGTGAGATACCGAGCCATCGCTGAAACTGAGGGCTTGCAAAGGGGAGTGGGGAGACACTGAGCAGGGGTGAAAGGGACCAAACATTTTGACTAGATTGGCACTCATAGGCTTGCAAAAAAGGACGTGCACACGTGTGAGAGAGGAGGAGGGAGAGAAGGAGGGAGGGAGTAGAGAGAGATTATGGAAGGCGCACTAGGGACTGACAAACCTCACAGACATAATTTACATCAACAAAGGTGTTTACACATGTCAAAACCATTCAAAACAAATGGATTAGACATCCGAGTTAAAATAAACAACCCTCTGACAGGAGAGTAAAATGCTTCACTTCTGTTCAAAACAACACAGTTCCCTGTCAAAACAACCCACGCTTCCATGTGTGTTCATGTAGTCATTTTTTTTTAAATTTTAAGCCTGCTAAACCCAATTCAAATATGTTTTTTCTCGAGTATAACCATGCTTTCAGATGACTTTTCCCCCTTACATATGGGATGGAAACTGGCAAAGCATAGAGGCCATGAAAAACTTGGATTGTTGAATACATGATTTTTTGTTGTTGTTGTTGTTTTGAAGTTGTGATGGAACCCTAGCCAATTTTGCCTGTTAGCAGGAGAAATAGGATAATTAGCTGGAATGGAACCCTAGCCAGTTTTGCCCGTTAGCAGGAGAAATAGGATAATTAGCTGGGGTGGAGCGGGGGCGGGGAGGCAGGAGTTGAGTCTATCTAGGAGAGCCTGAAGGTGGAAGAGCCAAGAATTGCTGGAGGGAAGGGGAGACGTTCATTTGTATCAGAAGAGGGAGGTTGTGTATTTTGGCAGTTGGACTGTAAGTTAAGAAAAGCTTACGCTGAATTCTGTTTTCTTCAGCAGTTGTTACTTTGTAATAAAGAGCATATCATTTTTAATTTTTTAACCACTTGGCCTAGTGTGATTATGAGTGAAGCCAAGCCCTTTAAAGGCACGTTATTTTAAAAAAATGGCAAGCCTAGGTAGAGGCAGGTCACAGAAGTATTGAATAGGGATTCTGAAAATCCATTTAGCTTATTGTGATGTATAAATTCTCAAAATCTATTTAGATTGCTGAGGTATGAATTTGGAACCACTACACACTAAAACAAATTTGAATATAATTTATTTTAGTTTATCTGTGATTGTGGTGAAGATAATATGAATGGTTTAAGGAATCAAAAGTTAAGATGGAAATTTAGTTTTCGCAGCTGAAGGACAACACATGAGCCTTCCCAGCTCCTAAGATCTTTATGAAAATTTAGTTTTCTCAGCTGAAGGACAACACATGACCTTCCCAGCTCCTAAGATCTTCAGATAAGGCCCTTACATTACTCTGGTTGCCCTCATAGGATCACTTGCTGGGGATATGAGAGAGGGCCTTCTCTGTGACTGCTCTGTTGTGGGATGGGCTACCTTTGGAGGTTAGGTTGACCCACTACCTTTTATCCTTTCCATAATTAGACCTGCCTTTTTAGGCAGGCTTTTGAGAACCAAATTGGGTAAGACCATTTTGGATGCTTAGCATATGTTCTTCCTGAGTGTGTTTTTAAAGCTTTTAAATGTGTAGATTTTAATTGTCATTATATGTTTAACTCTTAAAAAAAAACTTTTGTGCTTTTAGTCCAACTTCTCTTAATTCATTTGTGAGCTGCCTTGGGTCCCCTCAGCAGCAAATAAAGCAAGTAAATAAAGCAAGCAAACAAACAAACAAACAAATAGGTTTCTATCAAATCTACTCAGTCCATTTCATTTGTTGCCAATAAAGCTTTTGTTTGCCACAATGTTTGATATATTATTGGGTATTACAGTGGTCATGAATCTTCTCATCTTCTCACTGAAAAAAGAAAGCATGCCTTTAATGGCTGTGCAGTGTTACCATTATATGTAGTAAGGGGAAGGCCAGCAGCCACGTAGGGGATGGCAATGTGAACTGGCCCATCATCTCCAAGGTAAACTGCAATGGTGCATAGATTCTAACAAGCCCATGACAAACAGAAATGTTCAAATTAAACTAGTGTCTGTGGAAATTATGAGCAGCCCATTAACTCTCAAGATGAATCTCTATTCAAGCCTGCTGAATGACAACTTTAAGGATGCAAACTTATGAGCTGAACATTTTAAAATCTTAAGGTCCATCAGCTTTGACCCACCAGAAATGAAATCACATGCTTTCTATTTAAGAGATGAAAAAGCTGATGAATGAAGACATTGGACAACAACATTAAACTGGCGGATTGTACAGTGTGTCTTAAGTATGAGCTTCCTGATTAGCCTATACTGCTTATTATTGGTTTGTGTCTTGATTTTAAATCAGCCCTTTCTTTGCAGATTATTGTTTTCACATGTTGCCCATGTCATGAACAAAAAAGGAAACACTGTCAACACTTTGGAATTTTAATTATTATATTTTTGGTATTTTGGCAGATTCTGTAACTGCTCTCCAGTGGCTAGATTTAGTCTAGATTCCTTCTTGACAATTTGCACAGCTGGCCTTTGCTTCTTGCTGTTCTTCTTCTAGTTTTGATCTGTCTTTTCTTAAGTGTCAACAGGCCAAGATGATGTAGTACTCAGTGACTGCACCAGAATCGATTCCTCACCTCCTGTGCACAACCATTTCCATGCTGTTCCTAGAGTGGCCTACAAGTAACAAACTGAACTGCCCCACCCTCATGTATAAGCTGAAGGACATTGTGATGAAAAGCAAAAAGGAACTGGGAAAGAAGAAGATTTTATTGGCAGAATGTGGAACTTGATGGTTTAAAACCTCCACCTATACAGTAGAGAAAAAAAATCCAGTCAGGGACCCACATAGCAGATTATTATAATTATAAGTCTCCCTTAACTATACCATCCCTTTATTATCAGTTAGTTTTACCTCAACTAGCAATATAGTCTCAATAGATTCAGCCAGATCCACTGTTTTTCTCTTTTATTCACAAATGTTCGTATATATCAGGATAACAAAGATATTTACTTGTTACATAGTATATCTTAATTGGTTAACTTCATTATTTGACTAAGTGGTTACATAAACACTTTACTCAGACTCCATAATTGTCAAACTCTAAAACACACAGTAAGGGATGTGGTGGCGCTGTGGGCTAAACCGCAGAAGCCTGTGCTGCAGGGTCAGAAGACCAGCAGTCGTAAGATCGAATCCACAGCGGCGGCAGCGGCACACTGTCCGTCCGCTGGTTATTTTTTTCCTCCAATTTGGGCATGCGAGCCCAAAAAAGTTTGCCACCACTGCACTAGGGGAAGGAGCCAAACTGTAGTTCCTAATGTCTACCACCTCTTCCCTAGACTGTGCGAGATCTAGAAGGTGTGTGACTGGACAACTGTGGGAAAGCTTCTGTCCCTAGATTTCGAATTGCTCACTTATTTAAGCTTAAAACTCTTTAGCTGTGTACTTTGAACCTTGACACCAACCTGACCAGATAAGGGCACCCAAATAACAATATAGCAGACAAAGTCACTGTGGCTAAGGCACTTTCTTTAGAGATGCTCACCCTTGCCCCCAAGGATCACTTTTGGGTAAAATATAAAATATTTATTTAAAAAGAGTAAAAAAAATATAAAACAAAAGAAATACAAAAATATACAAATTGTGCTGGTCAAATGCCAAGCATCTAAGCATTAAGTAAACTCCTGTAAGACTTTCCCATAAAACAATAAAATGATTAACTTGCTAATAGTTTTACTCCTTAATTAACAGGCTGTTTTAAGTAACCATGACAAAGCCCAATCAGTCAATGAAAGCTGTAAACCTGTCTTCTATCTTCTTCTCCTTCTCCAACTTACACTCACACCCACACCTACACGTAACTCCCATTTCTATAACTTCAATCAAAGTCTCTGCTTCGTGATGGTATCCAATCAGCGTACAGTCCTTTGTCTGTAACTCCACACCCAACTTGTAACTTTCCAGGGCTCCTTCTCTCATTCCCAGGA